CTTCCGTTTACTACCCCGACTTCATCGCTGCGAACCAAGAGGCTCGCGCTGACAACCTCATCCCGGGCACCGACAAACAAGTCCATCTCGAGCATATCCGCGCCGACATCCGCAAATTCAAGAAAGACAATGGTCTCGACCGCGTCGTTGTCTTCTGGACCGCCAACACCGAACGCTACAGCGACCTCATTCCCGGCGTCAACGACACCGCTGACAACATCTTGAACGCCATCAAGACCTCCCACCCGGAGGTTTCCCCGTCTTCCGTCTTCGCCGTCGCTGCGATCCTCGAGGGCGAACCCTTCGTCAACGGCGCTCCCCAGAACACCTTCGTCCCGGGTATCATCGAGCTCGCTGAACGCGAAAAGTCCTTCATCGGTGGTGACGATCTCAAGTCCGGCCAGACCAAGCTCAAGTCCGTCCTGGCCGAGTTCCTCGTTAACGCTGGTATCAAGCCGCTGTCTATCGCGTCGTATAACCATCTCGGGAACAATGATGGCCACAACCTTTCTGCAGAGAGGCAGTTCAGGAGCAAGGAGATCAGCAAGAGTAGTGTCGTGGATGATATGGTCAACGCGAACAGGTTGTTGTTCAAGGCTCCTGAGCCGGGCGTGGAAGGTAAGGGCGAGCATCCGGACCATGTCGTAGTTATCAAGTACGTTCCCGCTGTCGGCGACTCCAAGAGGGCCATCGACGAGTACTACTCTGAGATCTTCTGCGGCGGTCGGTCGACTATCAATATCTTCAACGAATGCGAGGTATGTCGTCACGCAAGCCTTTCTATTTTCTGTTCGGTTTCTCACATCCTTTACAGGACTCCCTCCTCGCTACGCCTTTGATCCTCGACTTGGCTATCCTCACGGAACTCCTCACTCGCGTCAAGTACCGCAAAGCCGAGACCGGCGAATTCAAGCCTCTCTACAGTGTCCTCTCGTTGCTCTCGTACATGCTCAAGGCTCCACTCGTCAAGCCCGGTAAGTCTTCTCACTGCCATCGGCTTTGAACCCAGCTAATCCATTTGATGTAGGCACCGAAGTCGTCAACAGCCTCAACAGGCAGCGTAACGCGCTTGATGCATTCCTCAAAGCCTGCATTGGCTTGGAAGGCAGCAGCGACTTGTTGTTAGAAACTAGGATTTGGTAGATCCAGATCTTTTACGTCGCAAGGGTTCAACATCCGTAGATTAGATTTTTCTTTACCTGTCGAGCGTCCATTCAACTGGCGTCGACGAAGAAAGGTGGACTAAAATGGTTCCCAAGTTTTGTGGATATATACGTGCTGATTTTGAATGAATGATATCTTGATTGCTTTACTATTGCGCGCAGAATAGTTGGTTGACACGATTACCGCAATGCGAACAGGTAAAAATGACCTTTGTTTCCGCCACGATTGTTTACACTATAACGTCCACATCGCGGAATAATTGGTTGATATGATTACCGCAATGCAAACGGGCGAAAATGTAATTCATTCCAGAATCTTCAGTTCGCAATATTCAAGGCAAAAACGAACCTTCCAAAGCGGTTATAGATCTGACTGCCGGGACTCGAACTCGGAGTAGTTAGGAGGCGCCTAACTGCTGAACCGCCTAGATCGTTGAAATGAACTGCGTTAAGGAAAAATGTATGAAGTTCCAACATCCCGTCAAACACTGACAAGTCCCGGTCTGCGTGAGGTACTATCAAGACACGCACATTGTTTTTTTGCTGCTGCATACTGAACTGTAGTCGAAGTTAAAGGTATCATTTGTCTTCGCGCCTTGTCCGCAATCTGCCAGGCGTCCATGTCCATATGCGACATGTCCTATTGTTCAAGAAACTCTTCAAGTTCGAGAAGAATAACCTGTGCCAAAGCAGAATACACGACTCCGGAGACAGCTATCACGCTCTGGCCTGCACGACAAATACCATAGTTCCCAAGAGATAGTAAAACGTGCCCTTTCCATTTAAATTGCCGATAGTCCCGGGATTCGAGTACCTACAAGTACGACCGGAAGACTCTGACAAGCAAGACCCGTTCAACTGTAGGGGTATCAATAAGACGACGCGGTAATCTGTATGTCATCCTTCGCTCATGCACTAGGCTTTCTTTCGCTTGCAGGGACCCTCGAAGAAGCTCAATTGAATCCGGAACTTAATTCTCTCTCGATCATAAAGGACACGTAATTGCATACATAGGAAGTACAACATACACAAATACACTGTCGAAACTTGTTCATGAATACAAAACTACGAGTTTCATCAGCATGCAGAGTCTGCATTTAGGTAGCCTCGAAGCTTACTATTTCGCAATTACGCGCTTCCAGAACAGAATATAGACGAGAGCTGGTCGTTATTTCCAGCGAACCAGTTCAAACTAGCATCGCCACTACTGAACAACGGCTCGAAGCAGTCGTCGTCGGCAAAATAGTAGCATACACCACAGCTGCCGGTGTTCGTCTGATTGTAACTGCACGAGAACCAAGTGAGCGACCAAGAGTAATGCCTCATAGGAAGACACTTACGAGCTCACGACGTTGTCGTTGAATCCGGACCAGCCAGCACTGGCGGTGCTGTTGAGGCACTTTCCGGTGGGGACGTTGTACTTCCAATCACAGCCAACGTAGTACGCATGATCGCAGAGACGGATATCAACTGCCGCAACGATGGGCGTTAATACAGCGAGAGAGAGAGCGGCGAACTTGGAAGTGAGTTTGACCATTGGATATTGGATATCGGATAGCTGAGTGCTGGTTCGATGGGGGAAGTTTGAAATGCTACATTGCGTTTATATACGAGAGACACGAAGTTCGAGACAAGCGATGAAGCCGGATAGTTAGCTAAAGAGACGTCTGCGAAGTTACGAGCTTTGTATGGCTATAGTCAGCTGTCATTAATATTATTGAAAGGATCCACGTACGTGTTTGCTTATTTCCGCGGGATTTACTGGTCTACAAAGTATGCATATCTGATCGTTGGTGCCTCACGTCGTGCTTGCCATAGATGTAACCGAGCCTTTGTCACTCACTTTGTCGTCCAGCTTCGAGATTCCAACGTCAATTCCTTATGTTACGAATCCAGCCCTAGTGAAAGAAGACTTGCAAATTTTCGATAACGGCGAAGTAATCTGCCTCGAATGGAAGGAGTAGACCCAAAAATGTAGTGGTTCTCTCCGTCGCTACACTAGAAGGATTGAAGTGTCAGATGGTATTCGCTTTGAACTGCCAGGCATCCTGCGCCTCTGGAGTGTACATCCGTAGGCGAATAATAGAAGCATCAATTTGACGACTGTGTATTCTAGATACAAATCCGCGGCGTAGGGAAGGAGGAGAGGTGTGCTTAGCTTGTACCTCGGGGCCCATCTAGAACTGCTGGATGTCATTTTAATGGATCCAAGAGGGCCATCGACGAGTACTACTCTGAGATGTTCTGCGGTGGTCGGTCATTATAACATCTTCGACGAATGCGAGATGCGTCGTCGCACAATCCTTCTCTTTTTTTTTCTTCTTTCTCAATTCTCATCTCCTTTACAAGACGCCCTCCTCGCTACGCCGCCTTTAATCCTCGACTTGGCTATCTTCACGGAGCTCCTCACTCGCATCAAGTACCGCAAGTCCAAGATCGCGAGTTCAATCCTCCATACAGTGTCCTCTCGATGCTCCCGTACATGTTCAAGACGCCGCTCGTTAAGCCAGGTAGGTTTTCACATTGCCATGAACCTTGAACTCAACCAATCCATTATATAGATACGGAAGTCGTCAACAGCCTCAACAGACAGTGTGATGCGTTCGATGCGTCCCCCAAAGCCTGCATTGGTTGGGAGAGCAGCAGCGATCTATTGCTAGAGACTGGGATTTGGTAGATCTAGATCTTTATGCCACATGGGTTCAACATCCGTAGATTTTGTTTTACGTGTCAAGTGTCCATTCAACTGGCGTCGACGAAGAAGGGTTGACTAAAATGGTCCCCAGTTTGTGTGAATATATACGTGCTGATTTTGAAGGAATGATATCTTGGTTGCTTTACTATTGCGCACAGAATAGTTGGTTGATACGATCACTGCAATGCGAACTGGTAAAAATGTACTTCCTTCATTCTAGAATCCTCAGTTCGTGCCATTTAAGGCAAAAATGAACCTTCCAAAGCAGTTATAGATCTCGCTGCTGGGATTTGAACCCGGGGTAGGCGCCAGACCGCCGAACCGCCCAGACCGTTGAAATGAACTGCCTTAGGGGACACAAGCATATATACGGGTGCTGGTTGTACTATGCGAACAAAGTAAAAATGTACTTCATTCCAGAATTCGGAAGTCCTCTGTTCGCACAAAGCGAGCATTGTTCAAGAGAAAAATAAACCTCAACGAGAATTTGTTCATCTACACTGCCGGGACTTGAACCCGGAGTAGGAGGAGGCACCTATCGCTGAACCTCCCAGATCGCTGACATTGAACTATCTTGAGGGATACAAACATACATACAGGCCCTAACACTGAGATGGATTCCACACCACAAGTGTCAGAGGCAGCAATAAGATTAAGAGAAATTTGGAATACAGCTTGTCTATTCTGCGTCCGTTCTCTTTAATATGCAATATGCGTCGAGGCAAAAGAAGACGGGCATATTATTTGCGCCGCTGCATACTGAACTGTAGTCGGAGTCAAAGGTACCACCCGCCTTCGCGCCTTGTCCACAGGCGGCATGCCCTGGTTGCTTAAGCATTTCCTCAAGCTCGAGGAGGATAACTTGCGAGGCTTAAATCAGACTACGGCCATTAAGCAGTCCTGCATATGAAAAATACAGTTCCCACGAAATAGTAAAATGTGGACTTTACAATTAAATTTCCGATAGTCCTGGGATTCGCAAAACCTACAAGCACAACAGGAAGACCCCGACAGGCAGGACTCGTTCGACCGTAAAGGTGTTGATGGGACGACGCGGTGCTCTGTATGTGATCCTTCGTTCATGCACTAAGCTTTCTCTTTTCTTGCAGAGATCCTCGAAGCTTACTTTAATCCGGAACTTCACTCTCGTTTACAAATCACACACATAATTTCATACATAGGAAGTACAACATACACGATCGATTACAATGTCGAAACTCTTCATGATTCCAGGACTGCCAATTTCATCAGCATGCAGAGTCCACATTAAGGTAGCCTCGAAGCTCACCACTTCAAAATCAAGCGCTCTCAGAACAGAAAATAGATGAGAGCTGGTCATTGTATCCAGCAAACCAGTTCAAGCTAGCGTCGCCGCTGCTGAACAGAAGATCGAAGCAATCATCGTCTGCGTAATAGTAACAAACACCACAACTGCCGGTGTTCGTCTGGTTGTAACTGCACAAGAGTCTAATGAGAAACAAAGAACATCCACTCTCAGAGGAAAACACTTACGAGCTCACGACGTTGTCCGTGAATCCGGTCCAACCATCACTGGCAGTCGTGTTCAGACATTTGCCAGTCGGGACATCGTACTTCCAATCACAGTTAACGTAGTACGCATGTTCACAGAGAAGGATGTCCACGGCTGAGACGATGGGCCTCCCGATGAGAGCAAGAGAGAGAGCAGCAAAATTGAGAGTGAGTTTGACCATTGGATAGCTGAGATTAATGCTGGAGAGATGGGAGATGTGAAGTGCTGGGTCGCCTTTTTATATAAGGGACCCAATGTTCGAGGAACACGATGGGGCCGACCAGTTGACAAAGAAGAATCCTGTAGAATGGCTCGTTTCACATGGTCTGACAGGACTAATGTACTACTCCCCAATCTATGAAGTTGGTGTGTCCCGTGAGTCATCATTAGCGTTGTATGTTGTAGTATTTTCCGGAGATATAATTTATTGTTTCACCCTAATAATAATACAGACAATTGATGCAGTGGTATGTACACTCTTCTACTACCCCAAGTTTGGTAGCTCGTTAACCAAACATCATCTGACACTTCTGTTCTTCTGGTGCGGCGAGCAGTATGATATATTTCTGTGTAGTTGACTCCGATGACATCGCAAATTCACAAATTCCGATGCTTCTTCACTGGGACTGGAATCTATTATACTAATAGCATGGACAGCTGACATCATTAGAATCGCAAATGTGGACTCTAAAGAAGTGAGAATGTGAAAGATAAATTATATCTCCAGAAAATACTACAACATACAACACTAATGATGACTCACGGGACACACCAACTTCATAGATTGGGGAGTAGTACATTAGTCCTGTCAGACCATGTGAAACGAGCCATTCTACAGGATTCTTCTTTGTCAACTGGTCGGCCCCATCGTGTTCCTCGAACATTGGGTCCCTTATATAAAAAGGCGACCCAGCACTTCACATCTCCCATCTCTCCAGCATTAATCTCAGCTATCCAATGGTCAAACTCACTCTCAATTTTGCTGCTCTCTCTCTTGCTCTCATCGGGAGGCCCATCGTCTCAGCCGTGGACATCCTTCTCTGTGAACATGCGTACTACGTTAACTGTGATTGGAAGTACGATGTCCCGACTGGCAAATGTCTGAACACGACTGCCAGTGATGGTTGGACCGGATTCACGGACAACGTCGTGAGCTCGTAAGTGTTTTCCTCTGAGAGTGGATGTTCTTTGTTTCTCATTAGACTCTTGTGCAGTTACAACCAGACGAACACCGGCAGTTGTGGTGTTTGTTACTATTACGCAGACGATGATTGCTTCGATCTTCTGTTCAGCAGCGGCGACGCTAGCTTGAACTGGTTTGCTGGATACAATGACCAGCTCTCATCTATTTTCTGTTCTGAGAGCGCTTGATTTTGAAGTGGTGAGCTTCGAGGCTACCTTAATGTGGACTCTGCATGCTGATGAAATTGGCAGTCCTGGAATCATGAAGAGTTTCGACATTGTAATCGATCGTGTATGTTGTACTTCCTATGTATGAAATTATGTGTGTGATTTGTAAACGAGAGTGAAGTTCCGGATTAAAGTAAGCTTCGAGGATCTCTGCAAGAAAAGAGAAAGCTTAGTGCATGAACGAAGGATCACATACAGAGCACCGCGTCGTCCCATCAACACCTTTACGGTCGAACGAGTCCTGCTTGTCAGTCTACGTTAACTCCTTGCTGGCCATGTGTGTCTTTCACCCTGTAGCCTAATCTTGCTGCAAGCTGACCGCATCTAGGCTAAATTCGCGAAGGAAGCAAGAGGCGGTGACAGGCCGCCAAGAATCTGACGCTCCAAAGGTCTTCAGGCTTCCGTTCCGGAGCTCCGGAAACGATAGCATCAGTTGTAATGATGCTGAAATTCCCCTCACGGAAATTTGAAGTGATCAGTCATTAGATAATCTGGATCGTTTAAAGGGCGCAATCGATTTCGAGGTTTAAGGCCCGTTATTGATATTCTGAAATCGGCCCTGATGCTGGCGACTATTTTGAAGGGCACCAGCTTGATTTTGGGAGGTAAATCATATGCATTATTCACTAGTAGCGCTGGCACATCTAGTAAGGCTAGAAGAAACATAGAAGAAATTTCGTAAACAATGTCATTGTAGCTAAAGAATGAATATATAGATTCTTGTTATTTTCGCCTGCGTTCATTCCCGAGATGCATCGTTTCAAGTGAGTATCATCGTACCGATTCCGGAGAAAACCAAGAGAGGTATTCAAGGTTCGTGATTTGTCAATGGTCATCGACCCAACTTTGCATTCTTTTCAAGTTTAACTGAACCTCAAAAGACGCCAGTAAGAAGCGAACAACCTTGGCAAATATGTCGGTCAATTAATGAAGTAAACGTGGAACTCGCCGAGAGTAGCCCAAACTACGCCAGCACGACAATGCGCAGGTCACTCAATGTGATATATTTTTATAACATTCTCGAAGAGTCACAGCTCCTCCAGAATTTATGTCATATTGTCGAGGTCACATGCATCGTTGTCTCTCCTTGAGAGAAGCAGGCCGGACAGTGCCTAAGAACAGACTGATATTGAGCTACACAACCACGAAGATATGCCATGCCACGGTAACCTAGCTGATTTCAGACTTCGAGGAGGTCCCTCCTCGATTGAAGGAAGAGAGGCAATATAGAGCCATACGAACTCCCATGCCAGAGCCCACATAGAGTCTCTGCTGCGTGAATGTGAAAAAAGCTGTAGACTCGAAACTAGTACACTCCACGTCAGTGAATACAACGTGCTCAATGTCTGGATGATATCTCTCCTGAAGCGGTAGAGGGTCGACATGAGAGCACATTACAGGAAATCCAGTGAGTCTCACACAAGTTGGGATCTTTCCGGGTCAAACCACTGGTTCGTCTCTCTTGTACCGAAGATCTTCAAGGTCAGCCATCGTGATCGCGATGCTATTAGTGCTGCGCAACCTAACAAGAAATCCGTAGATGCGCCATCCGACGGCGGTGATGGTGGCGGATGAAAAGGGAAATGACCGGAACAGTGATGCCATCACGTCATAATCTCCTTTTTGCCTTCAACTTCGAGCTCGACGTTGCCATAACAACGGCCCATACCGCAATCCTATTTCTCCTCATTGCCACCCTGCTTGCCAGCTAAAATTGACTGGGCCATGACTCAAAAGGAGGATGATAGTGAAGGACCGTACGCCTACCCACCGCTTTCTCTCGGCTTTTTGTATTTTTTTGGCTCACGGTGAATCATCCAGGAAATTCTTAGATGTGAAATAAGGAAGAACTATTGAAGTAAGCTCTCTTACACATTGATATCATGGTCGTATCATGTAGCGACAATGAAATGTATTTCCAAGAAGTAAAATTGTTGAGGTATGCTGCTGTTGCCCCCTTCACTTCCGCGAGTCCTGACCGCATTACCTAGCACTGAAGACATGGTTTAACTCGCCATGGAGACTAAGTAAGGTGATGACTGGAAACTTATAGTCCTAATGTTTTGTGCTTCATGCTCCGTCTTTTCTTGAATCTTGATACCAGGCTCGACGGGGAATCCCTTTTGACGGAAACAGATGTGCATATTGATCCATTTGGGGCTATTTTGTCAATGATCATTTCCGCACATACTAATTAGCAAACATTTCTCGAAGTGGGATCACAACCAAAGAATCTAGTTGAGTGAGAGAAAGTGAACTAAGTAGGTGCCCTAGAATGCTATTACGACATGGTTTGGTTACTTTGCTTTCAACCAGCTTCGACTAACGGCATACTAATTCAACTGACCTTTTTGTCACAGGCCTAAAAATCTACAGTTGTGACTCGGACTCGGACAACATGACTTCCAGTTATGACAGTCCTCATGTATACTTCATTCTTCAGTTCGACGAAGTCTAGATTACATCGACTCGGGATGGAGAGACTCTCTAGGTCATCCATATTCAAGCATCAGCCTACCAAGTAGGGTTAACCACTTCAAACTAGCGTCGCCACTACTGAACAATGACTCGAACAGTCGTCGTTAGTGAAATAGCAGCATGCACCATAGCTGCCGGTGGCATGAGTATACAAGTGTCTCGCTGAAAAGATTGACATCGTGCACGTGGGCGTGTATTTGTTTTCGGCGCTTTTGACAACCGGTATGTTTTGCCGACTCCATCGGAATGTACTTGCGAAGTCGGAACTTACTCTCAACCGCCGGTTTGTGATACTTTTGCGTCTTTACTCCGGGTAGCTCCCAGTTTGTCCCTCCTTACATTGTTCTTAATCTCTCCGTTGGCTTCGTTCTTGGCACTTAGCTCATTCCGGTACCGAACGAGTACCTTTGATCTCCGTCCCCATCGAGAGCGAGACAGTATTCTCTTGAGAACTTATCGATGTATTGTCCAAGGATTTACTGACAAGTTTTGCCAATAAGCATTTACAGTGTTCAAGACCGCTCATGCCACGTTGGCATCGGCGATGATCTTAGCTTCTCATCCCTCCTCGTAGCGAAACCAAGAGGGATGAGAACTCGTCTCGATAGCCTCGATAACATATTCCTTTTGCTGTCTTTAATTTTTAAATTTCCGGTGCTTTCGAAGCTCCTGCTAGTACATGTGGGTCTTAATGAACGGATGCGACTTGCCCTCCTGATGAGTCTTGTCCGTGAACTATAGGTACTCCAACTCCACTAGGTCCACTAGTGAATTCAGTGTTCCTTCCGAATTCAATGATGTGCCTCCTCTAGAATTTCAGGCACTTCCTAACAATACACTTCAAAAATATCCCCGCTTTCCGATGACCAAGCCAGACGCATTTTGTTTGATTCGGGTTATTCTCGGGCGCTCGTAGCTCGTAGATCCTATGACTCACACCATTCCGTACGTCAGCCAATCTCTTATTTTTATCTCTACAGACATTTTTGAACTTCCACGTTTCTGGTATGAGTACGAGGCAAGTTTCCTTAGTACCCCATCTCACAAGCGTTCATTCACACTCGCAATGGAAAGTTCACATCCACATTCATCGCATTATCTCTTGCCATCCTGGCACCGCTCGCCTCAGCCATCGATATCCTCCTTTGCGATGATGCGTACTTCAACAACTGTGCCTGGAAGTACAACGTCCCTACGGGCGAGTGCCTTAACACCGGTGCTAGTGCTGGCTGGACTGGATTCCACAACGATGATGTGAGCTCGTAAGTATCCTCTTCGCTCGGTGTTTCATTTCATCCTCAGTGCTGGCCATAGATACCGTCAGGTGAACTCCGGAACCTGCGGGAAATGCTATTATTTCGCCAATGAGGATTGTCACGGCCAAATGTTCGACAACGGAGACTATGAACAGAACTGGCTGGGTATAAGTGGCAACAATGACAAGCTCTAGTCGATCTTTGGTTCTCACGGCG